GACAGCTCCCTCCTGCCTCTCCCTCTCCACTCTCTTCCTTAGATTTCCTTCACAACCTCTGGCACTCCCAGGGCTTCGGGTTCAAGTTGCTTCTCCTCCTGCTGCCTTTGACTGTCTCAAGCGCTCTCTGCCAGAGGGCTCTGCCCATCTGTATCCCAGTGCCCGGCACATGGTAGGGGTGGGATACATCTTTGCCAAAGCTGAGGTCTGGCTCACAGGAGGCTGGGCACCAAGGCCCGTTCCTCGCCCCCATCCGGCCCGTTCCCCCCCCCCCCAGCTCCCTGCTGCTCCAGGCCTGGGGACAGGGTGAGGAGGGAGAGCTGCAGGCAGGGGTGAGGGGCGGTAGTCTCCAGGGACATGCGCACGCCCCGCCTCCCCCAGCCCAGGCAGCTGCTCAGCGCTTTCCTTGGGTCACTGGTGGCTGCCTGTCCTCCCCGCACCGTCCCCCTGGGGAGCCCTCGGCCGGCCTCTGTCTGTCCCTGAGGAGCCAGGGCAGCTGGGCCCCACCACTGCCCTGGGCCCAGGCCCTGTCGTAGGCACTGGAAGGCTGGGGAGATGGGGGGGATGTGTTTGTGGGGTCCATGAGGGTGGGGAGCTGGCTCGAGCGGCAATTCTGAGAGTAGAGGGGGCCTCCTGTCCCACTGGGGCTCACGGAGGCTCCTGGGGTCCCCGTTGGGAATATTTAGGGGGAGATGCTCTACCAGGGCCCCCCAGCCCAGCCCTGGGAGGGTTTGAATCGGGAAGCTTGGGGGGAAGAAAGAAGTGAGAACAATTGTCCTGAACCCCAGGCAGTGGCCGGCCCTTCCCAGCGCCTCCCAGCCAGAACCAGCCGCGCCTGAGCTCCACCCAGCCCCAGCTCAGCGGGCCTCCGCCTCCTAGAAAAGCCATTCCACGTCTTCCCTTATGGCTTTGTTGGCATAAAGACGCATAGATTCCTATGAGATGCTAAAACATGTTCTGTGACCTAGAAGTCCATCTTTCCTTCTGATAGTGAAAGGAATTACATTGTCTTGGGTCTCGAGGCCCAGGTCCAGCGGGGAAGCCGCTCCCGTGAGCCAGACGCATCATCCATCGCCTGCCGGGCAGAAGCAGGAAGGGACCCCAGTGCTGGCCCCCCAGCCTGCCCCCCTTCCTTGTCAGGTGCCTTTGGCCTGCTCACCCCGCAATGGTAGCCAGGCAAAGGTACCCCTGCGACAGCTCAGCCTCTGCCCCATCTCCCCCCCCCCCCCGCAGGACTGTGCGCCCCGAGGCCTGTGCGCCCCGAGGCCTGTGTACCCCCGTATACAGCCCTGCACACAGCGGGTGCTCAATTAAAACGGGTCGTGATGAGCGTGGCCAGCCAGGGCTGGGTCTGCAGCTGTCCCTGGGCCTCCTCTGACCTTTGGTGACAATTGCCAAAGCCTCAGGACCGTCCCCGTCCCTCTCCCTGGGCAGTGGCCAGCACCCCAGCCGGGAGCAGGGACACAGGCCGGCGTGAGCCCGGCTCACCCTCAAGGGCAGAGCGGGGACCGGGGGCTGGAGGGGTGAGGTGGGGAGAGACCACAGGCAGAATGCTCGGGAGGGAGGCTGAGATCCCCCCTCCCCCCCCCAGGCTTCTCCCCCGCCCCAGTAGAGGACTTAGCAGTGACTGGCATTGGGGGGGCACCCAAGGTCACGGGGGCGTGTTGGGCTGGAAGCCAGCTCATCAAGTCCAGTGGGGTGTGGAGACGGGCAGGGAGGCTGCCCCTCAAGCCCGGGCGGAGGCCAAGAGCAGATAGGGGCGGGGGCAGGGTGGTCCACAGCCCAGCCCAGAGCCTGCACCCCACCAGTGCAGCCCAGAGCCCCAGCCCCCCAGTGCAGCCCTCCCCTGTGTAAGGGCCAGATGCATCCCTGAAACCCCAACTACATAGGACGCTGAGACATAGGAAACTGAATTGCCCAGGAGTTGGTTCAAAGCCAGCCTGGACAACATAACAAGAACAGTCTCAAAAACAAAGCCAGGCTATAATCCCAGCTATTCAAGAGGCTGATATCTGAGGATCACGGTTCAAAGCCAGCCCGGGCAGGAAAGTCCCAGAGACTGTTATCTCCAAGGAACCCCCAGAAAACCAACAATGGAGCTGTGGCTCCATGTGGTAGAGTAAAAGAGCTCAGGGAGAGCGCCCAGGCCCCGAGTTCAAGCCCCACGACTGACAACAAACGAAAGACCTCTGTTGACAGGTCTGGTTGATTTTGGGGAGACCCTGTCCTTTATTCAGGCCTCATGGGGGAGGATTGGGGCCGCAGAGGGCAGAGGCCGAGTCCCCTTCCAGCAGGGCCGTGCGGAGCAGCCGGTCAGCGCCCCCGCCCCGCCCACCCCGTCACAGCTCGCTGCCAACCCATTTGGCACGGTGCCCTGCTTGGGTGGGAGCCAGCTCGTTTGCAGGCGGTGTTAATTAAGAGAGAGGTGATGGGGCCGCAGAGGGCAGCTTCCGCCAGTGCGGTCCTGTGCCAGGGGGCTGGAGACACCCCAGTTTCTGCCCACCTCAGAGATCAAGGCCAAGGCCAAGAGGAGGCCTCTGTGTTCTGCAGGGTATGGGCGGGGGAGGCTCAGATCTCTCCAAGGGAAGGGGTGTTAGGAGTGTTTCTTTGGAGTCAGACCCGGTCATGGGGCTTGAACTCAGGACCAGAGCACTCTCCCTTAGCTGCTTTGCCCCAAGCTGGCGCTCTACCACTTGAGCACAGCTTCTCGCTTTTTGCTGGTTAGAGTCTCACAGATTCTCTTGGCCCAGGCTGGCACGGAATCCTGAATAGCAAGGGTTACAGGCTTGAGCCACCAGCACCACTGTGGGACTCATCTCTCTGAACCTCAGTTTCCTTCTTTGTCAATGGAGACAGGAGCCCCACCCCGGTGGCTTTGTCTTGGTGATAAGTGGGGTCAATTGTGCCCAGCAAGCCGTCTTCCCTAGGTCAGTGGAAATGGAGGTTCCTGGGGCAAAGGCAACATCCAAACCCGGTGGAGGGTCGGCTCTGCCCCGAGCCAGCCCCCCTGCCTGCCCGCCCAGGGCGCATGTGGCCTGTTCCCATTCTCTGGGCTCGCCGTCTCCCCGCGGCCTCCACCCCTGTTCTGGGAGCACCCGGCCGCTCCTTGCCTCTCCATCTTAATTAGCTGCTTGTATTAATCTCCCAAGTAACGTGGCAACTCGCAGCCCTGGGTTTTCAGGCTGTGGAATTAATTATTCCCCAAGCGAGGAGCTGGCAGGTCTGGGAGACCAACCACTCGGACTCGCCCGACACCATTTAGCGGCGTCCACAGCCTCCGCACAAAGCCCCCTGGCCGCAGCCTGGTGGACCAGTAGGGTGGGGACAAGGTTCTGGGGGTGGGGGGCTGCAGGCAAAAAGTCCTGGGCAGCACGTGAGCCGGGAACCCCTCTACCTCACCCTCGTTTCTCCCACCTTTTGTGTGTGTGTGTGTGTGTGTGTGTGTGTGTGTCGGTCGTGGGGCTTGAACTCGGGGCCTGGACGCTGTCCCTCAGCTCTTCAGCTCAAGGCAAGTGCTCTACCACTTGAGCCACAGCGCCACTTCTAGTTTTCTGGTGGTTAATTGGAGATAGGAGTCTCTTGGACTTTCCTGCTGGCTTAGAACTGGGATACTCAGATCTCAGCCTCCTGGGTAGCTAGGATGGCAGGCGTGAGCCACCGGCGCCCGACTCTCCCATCTCTTATGGGCGCAGGCTTGGGCAGAAGGGAACCCAGGCTGACCAGGGGGACTTTGACAGGCATCCTTGAGGAGGGGCTGCCAGCTTGGTGTTGACCACATGTCAGCCACATGGGCAGGTGGGAAGGGCAGCAGCTGGGCAGATCATGATGGACAGGGCCCCTCCACAAGGGGCCGTCCCAGGGGCCAGCAGGCCTCCTCCTAGTGACCCCCTCCAGCCAGGCAGGATGCGGGGTCTCCTCCTGCCTCCAGGCCCATCTCTGAGGACCCTCTCCCTTGACCTTCATACCCACCCTGTAGGATGGGGCTGCTCTGTCCTTTTTACATGTGGGGAAACTGAGGCACGGCCCAGTCACCCACCTGTTGGACACAGTGGTCACCTGACATCTGCTCATTCTGGGCAGTGCTTCCCATACCTGCTCTCTAGTTGTTTTCTGGTTGGCTTATGTCCGTCTGTGCCCCTGGCAGCCTGTGAGCACCAGGGCCTTAGAGGGCTCCAGGATGCCTTGTGTTGGTGGTGCACGCCTGTCATCCTAGCTACTCAGGAGCCTGAGATCTGAGGATCATGGTTCAAAGCCAGCCCACACTGAAAAGTCCCTGTGAGACTCTTATCTTCAATTAATGACTAGGAAACGGGAAGTGAGGCTGTGGCTCTAAGTGGTAGAGCGCTAGCCTTGAGCACAAAAGCTCAGGAACAGTGATCAGGCCCTGAGTTCAAACTCCATCACTGACAACAACAACACAAAAGATGCTATGGGGTAAAAGTGGGGAGAAGGATGTGGGGTACACAACACCTGACATCTGACCCCACGCAAAGCTGCTCCGGGGAGCGGGCAGCTCTCGGGACTCCCCTGTGCCGCTGCACCCTACAAACCTCAGACCCTTGCCAGGCACTGGTGGCTCATGCCTATAATCTTAGCTACTCAGGAGGCTGAGATCTGAGGATCATGGTTCAAGCCAGCCCGAGCAAGGAAAGGCTGTGAGATTCTTATCTCCAATTAAGCACCAGAAAACTGGAAGTGGCGCTGTGGCTCAAGTGGTAGAGCGCTAGCCTTGAGCTGAAGAGCTGAGGGACAGTGCTCAGGCCCAGAATACAAGCCCCACGACCAACCAAAAAACCCCCAAAACCTCAGGCCCGTAAGAGGGGGCTCTTCTGTACTGCCCCAGCTCGGAGCCTGGGAGCCCCTGTGACCAAATCTAAGAACTGGGTCCTGGGCCTGCTGCTCCAGGGACCCACTGAGCCCCCCCGCCTTATCCCCCAGTCCCACACAGCTGTCCGCTCTGGCCACTGGCCTACTAACCTGCTTCTCTTTCTCTCTTGCAGCCAACAGCTCCCTGCTCGGCGGTGGAGGCGGTGAGTAGATCTCTGCATCTCGGGCTTGGGGGTGGATGGGGGTGGGGGTGTTATCCCGCCTGTCCCACTGTCTCAGCCATGCTGTCCCCATAGACGGAGCTGGAGGCCAGCAGGCTGCGCTTCCCCCCCCCCCCCCCCCCCCGACCACTCCTGCCTGCATCCTGCTCTGTGATTAGAAGGGGCACTGGAGGTGAAGTGAGGTACCACAAGCCTCACCCCATCCATGATGCATCGGGGGGAGGGTCTCAGGAAGGCCTGTTCCAGTCAGCCTCAGTTTCCCCACCTGTGTAGGCAAAAATATTTCCCCTGCTCAATATCCTAGGCTGAAACCTCCAGGGATGGTACTATGCCCAGCAGTGTCAGTGCTGGCCCACTGCAGGTGTCCAGGTGCCAGGTGGGGGGCTGGTGAGGGAGGCTGGGTCTCCCACATACCCACGCGCATGCGCATGCCGTCCTGACATCCGCTAAGAAACACGTTTCCACAGCCAGGCGCCCGGGGCTCACGCTGTCATCCCAGCTACTCAGGAGGCTGAGATCTAAGGATGGTGGTTCCAAGCCGGGGCCCCCTAGGAAGGTTTGTGAGATCCTCACCTCCAATTAACCACTAAAAAGCCGGAAGTGGGGCTGTGGCTCGAGTGAGAAAACGCTAGCCTCGAACACAAAAGCCCAAGGACAGCGTGCAGGCCCTGAGTTCAAGTCTCAGGACACACACACACACACACACACAAAAGAAAAAAAACGAAAGAAAGAAAGGAAGGAAGGAAAGAGCCAATCTCTCCAGATCAGCGTGGTCTAACTGCCAGGGTTGGGAGTCAAAGTCACAAGGTCCCTTGGGGGAAGAAGGCATCCTGCGTCCCGATGTTCCCCACGCCTGCCCCCCCCTTCCCTCCCCCCCCCCCCCAGCCCCAGCCCCCTGCCAGCCACGGCCACTGTCTGTGCATCTGGATGATTGGTGAGCCTCAGGGCAGGGGTTAATGCGCCGTGGGATAAATCCCGGGGGCCGTGTTTATGGCAACTGTGGCGGGGCCCAGGCCAGGTTTTAAAAGGGGGAAAAATAAAAGGGGCGGCGAAGGTCAGAAATAAATAAAAGCAGTGCTAAGAGCTGTCGGTGACCAGCCAGGATGCAGGATGGGGGTCTGTTTGTGGCTAGAGATGTTTTCCCTCCCCCCCCTGCCTGCGTCTCCTCTAGCTGTCCCCGTGGAGGGCACAGCCACCCAGGACGGGGACAGGAGCCTCTGATTGGCCACCTGCTGCACTCCACCCGTCTATTCCCACCCCGTGCTTCGGGGCCCACCGTGTGTGCAGGGTGGATGGCGCTTGGTGTGGGGTACCATCCTGGCTCAGACATCGGGGGACATCTGCAAGGAGGCAGCATCTGTGCTGGAACCAAGGAAAGCGGGAGGGAGGGAGCTCCTGGGGTGACCTGGGGGGCTGTTCAGTTTGAGAAAGCGGATGGATCAAAAAGGAAGATGAAGCCGGGCACCGTGGCTCACAGCTGTAACCCCAGCTACCCAGAAGGCTGAGATCTGAGGATCTGAGCTCCAAGCCAGCCCAGGTAGACAAATCCAAGAGACTCTAGTCTCCATTTAACCAAACAGTAGACGCCAAGTGGTAGAGCACCGGCCTCGAGTAGAAAAGCAAAGGGACAGCGGCCAGGCTCTGAATTTGAACTCCAGAACTCTCTTTCGCTCTCGCTCTCTCTCTCTCTTTCACACACACACACACACACACACACACACACACACACACACACACACAAATGGAGAAAACAAAAAGCTGGGGGTACAGGCAGAGCCTCGGGGGTTTTAGGAAAGTCAGGGGTCACCGGACCTGGCTGGACTGGAGGCCACCAGGGGTCCCTCCGCTTTCCTTGGGGCTCCGGGGTGAAGGCTGGAGCGGGCCAGGCTGGCCTGACAGACGCCGAGATGGATGGCTCGCGGGCCCGGCGGAAGTGGGCCCGGAGTCCAGCCTTTTAACGCCGCCAAGATTTATGGAGGCGGCGGCGCGCCGCGGGCTGTCACTCTCTAATGTGATTGGAAGGAGGTGCAGGGGACCGCGAGGGGACCGGACTGGGACCCGTGGGGCCCAATGCCTCCTGGGGATGATGGATTTGAAACTGGAGCCCTAACACCTCTCCTGCCCCTGTGCTCCACCGCACCCCCGCCTGGCTGTCTGTAAGAACCCCGGGATTCACCCCCTGGCACCCCCCCACTCCTGCCCACTTCCGCCACGCCCCATGCTAGGCCCCTTCCCTTCGTCCCTGGCGTGAGCTGGGAGATGACCGGGTGCCTGGTGTAGGCAGGGTCTCACGAGCCAGGGCGGCCGGGCAGCCGTGGCTCACGCCTGTCATCCTAGCTGCCCAGGAGGCCGAGGTCTGAGGATCGTGGTTCAAAGCCAGCCCAGGCTGGAAAGTCCATGAGACTCTTGTCTCCAATTAGCCATCCAAAAACCAGACATGGACCTGTGGCTCAAGTGATAGAGCGCCAACTTTAAGGAAAGGGAAAAAGAAGCTAAGAGATAACAGTATCCAATATCCAATATCCGCCGGGCGCTGGTGGCGCACGCCTGTAATCCTAGCTACTCAGGAGGCTGAGATCTGAGGATCGCGGTTCAAAGCCAGCCCGGGCAGGAGAGACCCTGAGACTCCTATCTCCAATAAACCACCAGAAAACCGGAAGTGGCGCTGTAGCTCAAGTGGTAGAGCGCTCGCCTTGAGCTGAAGAGCTGAGGGACAGCGCCCAGGCCCAGAGTTCAAGCCCCACGACCGACAAAAAAAAAAAAAAAACAATATCCAATATCCGCGCCCTGAGTTCAAGCTCCAAGGCAAACATACCCAAAAGGGTGAAGTTGTGGCGGCGGGTTTTGGGGGCGGGAGCACACGTTTTTGCTGAAAGCAGGTGGTGATTTAGGCTTAAGAGGGGACTGCAGCCGCTGAGGAGCAAAGAGGGGTCCTCGAAGACCCCAGGCTCAGCGACATCCCCCAGCCCTGGAGACGCCCCCCTCTTCCCTATTCCTTCCTGAGGCTCCCTCTGAGTTGGGGACCAGGCCAATGCCTGAATTCAGGACTTGGCTGAGTGCTCAAGGTGGACCCTATCTGGTGGAAGCCTTGTCGGCAAGGGGACATTGCACGTGGGCCCTGAAGGCTGAATAGGAGTTCAGGGGGCACAGCCGGACGGAGTGGCACCCAGGCAGGGCCCAGTGCCAGACTTGGTGATTATCAGGTTCCCTCGCCCACCCCCCCTCCCTCCCAACTCCCTCCCCCTCCCAGAGAGCCTTTTATTGGCTCAATAAAAAGAATTTTTTAAAAAAAGAACAAAAAATCACTCTCCTATTGTATGGGAAGAAGGGAGGAGGGCTCTAAATCAGGACAGGAATCGACAGGGCCTCTCTCCTGTTTATTAGGGCTGAAATGTTTACTTGGCGACAAGGAGCCAGCTTTCTGGGGAGATTTGTGCACTCTTTTTCAATTACCCCTCGTCTTTCTCTGCCACTTTTGCACTAAAGGGATAATAAATGTATCGGAGCGTTTCAATTATTCATCTAAATCATGACTGCGTCTGCCACGGCCAAGCCTTAGTGACAGATTAATTCAGAGCCGCCTCTTCTTCCTGCGAGGTGGTGCCGTCTCCATTGCTCCGGCAGCGCCCAGGCCAGGGTGGGCCCGACACCCTCGTGGGCACCTCTGTGCCCGGGAGAGGCCAAGGTGGCTGTGCCGACTTCATGCCTGCCACAGGCCCTTTGTACCTGCTGTTCCTCGGTCCCCCGTCACAGCCTTCCTACCTAGCTATGGCCGCCCGCGTCCCTCCATCTCTATGTAGCCTCAGCCATGTGCCCAGCACTGAGCTTGACGCTGGGCCGCAGCCCCGCCCACCACTGCTGGCATTCTGTTTCCTGTGCATTCAACTTCCACCTGCTGCCCCCTGTCCGGCTAAGGGGAGGCTTGCCGAACAGGTCAAGGCAGGAGCGTGAACCCCGGCTGGCGTCTCCTCCTCCGCGACCGCGACCTTCTTCACACACGGGTGGTCCCCAGGCCGCGGGGACTGGCTGCGTCTCTCCCTCTCGCTGTCTCTCTGCCGCTGGTCTTTCCCTCCTCTCCCTCTCTCTCCCCTCCTCTCCTGCGCTGGCTTTCCTTCTCTGTCTCTCCCTGGCTGTGCCTCTCGCTCGTGGCCTCTGTGGACAGCAGTCTGGAGGGTCCGTGGGGCCTCTGAGCCCCCAGCCCGCGTGGCCTCCCCCTCCCTCCTGTGAGCCTCAGCTGTGGACACTTCTGTGGCCCGCGGGGAAAGGCGCTCGGCTGCCCTGGTGAGCTGCGGCCTGGCTGGGTGGGCGGAGGACGCGGCCTCTGTGGCCTGTGGCCACCAGGTGATCTGACCTCATGCTGAGGTCGGCTGCCCCCCAGCCACTCTGGAGGCTGAGGGCTGAGGATTGCGGTTGGAAGCCAGCTCTGGCAGGAAAGGCCGTGAGGCTCTTATCTCCAGTTAACTAGCAGAAAAGCAGAACTAGACGTGTGCAGCTTACGAGGTACAGCACAGCCTTGTGTGGGAGAGAAGACCTCAAGTTCAAGGTCCAATACTAGCATGCACATGCACACATATGCACACATACGGGGAGAGGAGGGGAGAGGAGGGGAGAGGAAGGGAAAGGGAAATCAGATAAGGAAAGAGGAGGGGAGAGGCGGAAAGGGGAGGTCAGGGGAGGAAAAGCGGGAGGACAAGGCAGCAATGTGGCTCAGTGGTCGAGTGCTTCCTTAGTGCGCACAAGCCCTGGGTTTGATCCCTCAGTACATACGCAGAAAAAGCCAGAAGTGGCGCTGCGGCTCAAGTGGTAGAGTGCTAGCCTTGAGCAAAAGAAGCTCAGGGACAGTGCCTGGGTCCAGAGTTCAAGCCCCAGAATTGGGAGGGAGGGAGGGAAGGAAGGAAGGAAGGAAGGAAGGAAGGAAGGAAGGAAGGAAGGAAGGAAGGAAGGAAAGAAGGAAGGAAGGAAGGAAAGCAGGCAGGCAAAGC